GTACTCAGTGACATGTGCAATTCCAATGAGAAATTTTTTTTACAAAAAGTAGACCCTTACAATGGTTATGCCATTGCACATTCTTCAAGTCTGCCTGAAATGCTAGGAAGTTGACATAAGATGAGGCAAATTTAAGAGCGGTGTAATGATGTGGACGAGAAATAGTATAATGAGATTGTTATCTTAATTGTGTGTGACTGTTGCTTTACAATGTAGTTAAAATCGTGCTGCAATCACACTCTATTTCCTCCAAAGATACCTTTGACAATTGCTTTCAAAGGGTAACCAATTTGTACTCCTTGTACACGAGTATTTATAAAATACACCTGCCTAATAAGATAAGCCTAATTGCTTTGAAACGAGAATCGTTATCATTTTAATTCTAAGATGTAAGACTCATGGACGTCAGCGGAAAGAGAAAGAGTGTTGAGTAGAGTGGCAAATTGACAAGACATGGGGTAAGACTTCGAATGAGTATACTGTTACTTATTTTTTTTATGGAGGATGCAAGAAATGCTAGCCTAGGGCTGGCTGTGGTAGATCTACAACCTGCGTTTCAGATCTTATGAATGTGCTTTGGCTGCAGAAATATAGAAAATTAACTGCATTGTTTGCTTAAATCCAGTGCATCATGTTCATCAGATAATACTATGGTGAGAGATACCCTGGTCTCCTAATAAACTAGAAATTACTATCACTGAATATTGTAAATTTATTCCAATTCAAGAATGAGAGTGAGAAAATCCAATAAGATTAAGAAAATCATATTTCTTTAATATACTGTAATGTTATTGAAATATTACGGGACTTGCGAACGCCAATTCCCCACATCTCTGTAAGAATGGTCGGGTGTTTGAACCTCGGGTCACTTGCGGTCGTATTTGTGTGATCGACATATATTTATTTTTAGTTATTTTCGTAACTACGCTGCAGTTTTAAGTGTATATGTTAAAGCAGACAACATACATTTTTTACAGAAATGAATGGAGTTTTGATTGCTCTCCAATTTGCTGAAGTGACAAAAATTCTAACTCGGGAGAATAGTCTATTATTGACAGTCGATTTATTTTTAAGATTTATTGATTAGAATCAGAAGTTGATAAAATTTCTTGTTAAAGCTAACGTTTTGAGACTACATTTGCTCTCGTTTTCAAGCCTAAAATAAATAGAATAAATGAAAATATGTAGAGTTATAAATAGGAATGTAAACAGTAATATATAAAATATAGGTGTAGAATTCTTAGAAATATTGTTATACAAAACAATGACTAGAAACAATGTTCACATAAAATTGAACCAAATACATGCCTCACATACATTAGAAGAATAAATCTACGTAATAAAACGTAATTTAGATGTAGTCCATGAAGGAAGGCCATGTCAAAAATACCCAGCGTACCAACATAGAAACATACAGGTTTCCTCACTTAGCTAGCAGATAATAGCACAGAGCTCTTTGCGTGACGTCACAGCCTTACTTCTCAGGCACGTTACAAAATTCTAGAGTCGTGTAGCGTCCTTTCCTCAAGGCCTTGTTGATTGGTGGAAATTCGAAGAAAACCGTTGAAATTGGAGTAGAAGATGCGATTCTCTCTGTGGAAGATTTTTACGCCGTCAGCGGTTGTAAACTTGTGAAAGTGGTTAATTCAACGTTCGTCCGAAGTAATGAATTGTCTGTGCGAATTGGCGGATAAGCCACAACGTGATTGTGTTTCACGAAGTTACGAGATCGAACAGCAAATAAACTACAGACCAGTGATAACTAAGCTTATTCTTAAGATTTTACTGTTAAAAACGTTATTTTAAAGATGTTTTTGTGATAATATATCTTGTAAGTTAGCATATCCTGCGTGCTCCTTCCCGGGAGCTTAAGTTGTTGCAAACAGATTTAACCTTTTATATAAGTCTTTAAATGCTCTTCAACGCCTTAAGAGGGGTGGAGCTGTTAAGTCACTGCGTTTTCTAACCATTTAAGTCACCATTGCCAGCCGTTTCTGATGTTTAACAATAATTTAATTTTTGTGATTATTATTAGTTGCATGCATTGAATACACTTTCGTATGCACTACTATGCATATTATATCTTGCATTCAATCAGAAACGAAAGATGAGATCACCAAAAAGTGCTTGCGTTGAGCTATACGCCGCACGTTTTTCTAATGCGTGGTAGCATTCATTCCTTTCTTTTCACGTTGTCACATTTATCTCGAAGTGACATTCGGCGATGTAGGGGAGGGCACGTCTCGGAAACTCTGCTCCCCTTCTCGGATGTCCTTCAATGCTCATTCGAGACACACGCCTCCGTCGTCGTGATGGTTATTGAATTTCTGTCGAAGGCCATAGAATTATGAAGCACGGCTGGCAACGCGGTGCATTTTGTCAGCCTCGTGTGCCTCCCCCACTCCCCCTCCCTCTCCATCGCCGTCCCCCATCTTCCCCTCCATTCGCTCGTCACCTCCGCCTTGCTTCCACATCCCTCGCTTCTCGTCCCTCCCCTGACTCATTACGTTTCGCCCGTCCTCAACCGCATGCTCCCTTCATTGGTCATTCACCTCTCTTGACCCTCCATCCCAGAGGTCTACCCCATTCCTTTGCCACACCACGACTGCGTCCCCGCTACATCCACCCCCATCCACAGGAACCCCACTGCATCGCCATGGCCTCCTATGGCCACGCTTCGTCTCCAACGCCTCCTCGCCACCGATCCCTTTGGCCTCCCCCACCCCAGGCTCATCCACGCGTCGCTCCCCGCAGCTTCCGGGCCGAACCATCTGCGGTGTGGCCCCCCTCCGTCAGGAATTTTTTACACGCGGCTGGGGAATAATAATAAGTGACTCGTCAATCCCCTTCGGAACGCGCGTGGTTCATCTTCGCACCCTCTGTGGAGATCGTCTGCGACCCGCCCCCCTCCCGCCAACCACAGCGGTCGTTTCCAAATCAGCCGCCGCAAACTCTACAGTCGCTGCTACCGCCACTACCACTGCTAACAATCTCAGTTTGCCGCACTGTAGCAACGTTTATTGTCAAATTTTATTACTTTCTCTCATTAGACATCACACTCACTCTCGCGGAAATCATCAAATTTTCGACAGAAAAACTCTTGTAGAGGGGTCATGGAAACGAAAAAATAGATGAACCTTGTTCCCATGTATAAAAAATTACTTCCTTTAACATGTAGAATCAGAAACCATGTTTTGATACCAAAAAATCTATTGTTGGCGAAACGTCTGTCTGGTCAACATTAAAATCTCATACGTACTGACGAATATTTTTCAAAATTGATATTTCTCCGTCGATATGAAGGTACTCAAAGCCTTGCGAGTTATAAACGCATATTTTTTATTTTTTGAGGGTAGTTTACATGAAGGCCCAACAAAACTAGAACATTTTTGAATAATTACTGGAATTTTTGTAACTGAACTTCTTTTATGAATAGCGTAAATAACTCTTAAAACAATAGGTAGATCTCATTTTCTTTAAAATTCATGATTTTTTGAAAATGGTCAAAGTCCAATTTTTTTGGCATCTTCCTACTAGTTGTAGTACAATATTGATGATTGAGGATGAGACTTTTTACAGAATGAAATCTGATGTTATAAAGGGACCATAAATAAATTAATTAAGAAATAATTCCTGAGGCGAGAAAGTAAAAATATTGAAAATAGAGACTCTTCCTGAATGAAATATGGTCTAAGGCAGATCTTGAAATGAGGTTGAGCGTAGTTTTGGAAATTATGAGTAGTTTTCCCGTAACGTTGCGTGAAACACAGGCTATTATTAAAATCTTCTAGAAAATACTTTTTTCAGAAACGCCTTCAAATTTTGAAGTTTTTTCGTCGTATGTATCAAAGGACAAATGAAATAAAACTTTGTTGCCGGTCCTATTTCTAGTGAACTCTCTGTATTTAAAAAAATGCAAATTATTAACACTGCAAAATTACAATATTGAAGATAGATATTTGTATTTTAAATAAAATATGTTCTAAAAATGAAATCTATAAAAAAGGTCATGCACATTTTTTTAGAAAATAAGTAGTTTCTGTGTGAAGGTAATGCAAATTAAAAAAGAAAGATTTTATGAAATATGGTTCAAACATGTTTACTTCAATTCTTTCCTTACTACAAGAATTAACAGAATTGTGCAGTTTTCATTTTCGTTGAACTCAGAATTTTCGAAAATTGTAAAAGTAAGTAATAATGAGAGAAATAATGTGCTATTATATTGCCAGTAGTTTAGAAAATATTTTTATCTCCTCGGATTTTAGAAAACTAGTTTGAAAACCGGCACTCTTTTGAAGACTGACAGATGGAACTTCAGAAGAATTTAATTACACAGAAATACTTCAATTATTCTTTGAACATACTAAAAACCAGAATATACTTCGTCAATCTATTTAGAGACAATGAGCGCACATGATCATATAGCAGTTTAAAAACTGTAAAACATAGAATACCTGGAACACAGGGATTCTAGTTCAATTAACTTATATTGAAGCTAAATCTGTCAAAGTATTCACATTTCAAAATTTTATTCGTACTACAAATGCCAGTCTCTTTCCCAGCCATCTTCCTCAGGCAATGTTAGACAGCAACTAATACGACCAGCATCGCTACCAACAATTTTGTGAACATGCTCTCCAATAAGCATTACCGCTGGCATGCTCGTCAGCCTGAGGATTCCATCACCGTCTGGACATAGTATGTGTTTCATGCAACTCTCCGTACTTGTTATTGCTATGTTACCAATAGAGCAGCATCACATTACTTGGAAAATAATGATAAAAGACGTCACAAAAATCATTAGTTTTAACGGTTATTGTTTAATAATGAAACAAAATCTCGCTACTGGTGAACTAGTAATTGTTTATTCGCAGTGGTGCGCGTAAATAGCAGGTGACCCTTACTACTTGATTGTCTTTACGAAATAGAAATGGTGACGAGTAATATAAGTGGCATATTTAGATTATTGAAACAAAATACAAAGATTTTTTCTCTTTTAGAGAAAGACGTTCTGCGTGGGAATGTATTTTACTGGTAAGTTTCAAATATTTGCATTTTTACAGACTTGTGAAGTAGAGAATAAGTTGATAACAATGTTTGAACTTTTGATAAAAATGTTTTTGTAAAGACATATAGGAAGTGTTGTATTAATGAATAGATCCCCAATCTTTCAGACCTTACTCAGTGAGGAATGTGTAATGAAATATATACTGAAGATATCGTAGCTTTAATGAAACACAATACAAAAATATCAACTATGCGGAAACGAAAACTAACCATCACGTAGATTGAGTATTGATATGGACATTAAAAGTATTGTAACGATATGGAATGTATACACTTAGTAAATACAAATGTATATAAATATGATTCCATTGAAATGTCTTGTATCTGATTTCCAGCCTGTTACTTAACATTCTCGTTTCGGATTACGAACAAGTTGTTCTCGTTGTCGGCTGCACGCTTGGGGTGATTGTTGAGGCCGCCGAAGAAACCGTCAGAAACGGGAGTGCATTTGTCTCCTTTGTAGCGTACAAAGTCTTTTCACGCCTTTACGGAAGCCGCGGGAAGACGGCACTTTGCATAATAATGGCACCGTCCAGAGAAGGCTGGGAGCCCAAAACGTTTCGAAGACGTATCTATTCAGGTCGTGACTGAAATTCAATTTCACACCAATTTACGGAAAGCATCTTTGTGTTTCGGTAGACACCTCCTTTGCTTTCAACGTCTTGTGCCATATTAATAACATGCTTTGTCGTCATGTCGTCACTGGCAAGTTGTTGCGTTTCAGTCTGAGGTCCTGCTACGAGAGTTTATTTTTCAAGACTACCTGAATGGCTGACTCATGAAAACGATATTTTGTATTTCCAAGATTATTATTAAATAAATGCATACACGACATTGGAGACAGTGTTCATGAACTCAAATGACTCTGGGGCGGACATGTTGCTCAAGACTCTTCCAAATGGTCACATCGTGCTACGTTTTGCGATCCGAGATACGGCTGGCGCAAACAAGGACGGCAACATAAGAGATGGTCTGATGTCTTCAAGAGGTGGGTGTAAAATGGTCTCATGGATCAAAAGTCAGAAAAGTTTGGAAGAAAATCAATGTCCAAAATTTTGGTATTTTAATTAATACAGAACACAGAGATTTATTTATAGCAAGCGAAGCTACTTCTCCAAATGTATTTTATGAAGGTGCAGCATTGAGTCTTAAAATAGTTGCTAATTTTACTTCTATACATCTTGATGCATATTTAGTATTTGTACGTACATATTGAAATATACATTTTGAAATTTTGAACGTGCATATGGAATATAGAAAATTAACAATATTTTTCTTGTTCAAATGTAATAATACAATTTTATAGAATACCATTCTACTACTAACATTACGTATAATAGATAATCCATTAATATTTCGACAAAAGTCTACAATGTTCATTCTACAAATAACTGGATAATTTTGTTAGTAAAATTATTTTTCTTCAACTTCATATTCGCAAGTCATTTTTACTTTTAATTTCAACATAATTTTATGATTTATCATTTCCGGTATTTCGCTGCCAGATTTAGAGAAACCACACACTTCATCGCAACGAATAAAATTCATGAATAACGAGTAAACATAACCACAAATAAACCCCTTGTCACGCACTTACGTGATGTGTTTTAATCACG